CACCTCCACCACCACTATCATCATCACCTTAATAACATGTTATTTGCTGAACACCTACTGTAATATATCAATTTATTGTATCATTTAGACACTTGATTCTAATGAGGGAGGTAGTATTATTTTTACTTTATTGATAAGAAAACTGAGGCACAGAAGAGTTAAGAAATTGGCCCGACAAGCAAATACACCCCAAACCCTTCAACATGTTTAGTTTGAATTTAATAAAATAGGAAAGTCTTCCTTTTGGGTACCGTAGCTTAAAAATGAATTAAAAATTTCAATTTAATAGTAACTTAATATAGCTCCAACTGCAATATTCAATACATTATTTCAGAAGTATTACAGATGGTGGATACTTTATTTTGGCTTTGTCCCCATGAAAGAGTTCATACACCACAGGGGTATCATTAGATGAAGATTTTGGCCCCTATGTTATCAATACAAGAGAAGGTGTTCGAGGGTGGAGGGAAGTAGGCAGAGTGACAGTGATTCAGCCAAAATTCTACAAAAGATGACCCCACAGGCAAACAGGGCACTGAACACCTGAGAATTCTCTCTCTGAAGGGGCCAAGAGGTCAGACATGTAGGAAACGAGAGAGAAGAAAGGCAGGCTAGTGCAGCACAAAAGTGCTAACATTTTCTTAGAGGTAAGGGGCCCCTTCGGGCTGGGAGAATCTGGGAGAGGGTTACCAGTTAACCAAGAGCAGGTCTAGAAATCATAGCCTAACTATCAAACATGGGCCAAGGAGGTAGTATAAGTAATATTAAATTGTTAATATTAATGATACAAAATAATCCTAATTAACATACCAAATGTGATTACCACATATCAAGCACTGTTCTAAGAACCTGGCCTCTGTCAGCTCATTCCAACCTCACAGAACCTTACAAATATAATCCCTCGATTAGCTCCTGCATTTATTTTAAATGAAATAAATTAGTCACTTTAAAATGCAGAAACCCAAGCAGAGAAAGATGAACTTGAAGTCCCACAGTAGAAGAAGATAGCTCTAAAGACAATAAATCAAGCAATAATGGTATAAAACTATTATTTATTGTTACTATGGAATTCTTACTAATTTACCACCCAAAGAAGTTCAAAAAGAGACGGTTAAAACTGGCTCTTCTCCCAGCAGGACTAGGTTGGGTGGAGAGGGACATAGAACAGTTAGTTGCCTGTCACCATAGCCTCATTAGAACTTGTTGGTAAGTGACCGTGCACATGTTAAAGGTAAACTGAGGCACATTAAAATTTTGAATAATCTGGTAGCACCAAATCTGAAGTGCTTAGGAGGCTCCCCTAACAGAAGCTAAGGGAGAGAAGTTTACAGAGAAGACTTGGAAGCAAACCAAGGAAATTATTTGATTGGCTACAGCTTAACTGGTGGCCTTATTTGGGAAAGCCTGGTTGACTGGGACTGGTCCTTCCAAAGCTTCACTTTCCCAGATTCAAGCGCGGACTTGAATCCCAGACTCTGGCTTTGGTTTTGGTCGGCTTAGGTTGGCTACCAAGGCTTTAGGGCCACCCCAGTCTAAGGGCCTCTTGCTGAATTACCTTACTAGGCATATAATAACTGCATGTGAAAAATCAAACGAAACAGTTATAACAGACAAAGTACATGTTTTCCTTCCCCAGAAGTAGGTACTATTCACACATTCATTTGTTTGAGGGATATTTTCTCTGCACAAAACAGTATTTATGCATAGATATGTCTATATACACATATATATTTTTGTTGTTTTTAGTAAGTACAGTTAGATATAACACATGCAAACGGACGGTACACACAGCCTCCTGTTTTGCTTTTTACACATAAAAATATATTGTGACATTTTTTCTTATCAGTATAAACAGCTCTACCTGATTCCTTATATGGCTGTATAGTATTCTGTTACCTAGAAGAACCAACATTTATTTAACTCCTTTAGAAGCAAGGCTGTAATGCACACCTTTGTACGTATTTTCTACATGATAAACTTCTTTTTTTTATTATGTTCAGTTAGCCACTGTATAGTACATAGTTAGTTTTTGAGGTAGTGTTCAGTGATTCATTAGTTAAGCATACATTGTGTTGACGAGGTAGAAGTTATAGGTATTAATGATTTTGTACCAATCAACAGTTTGGAGGGTAACTCTTTCTCCTCTCCCCTATTTCATGCTGAATGCTACTTTTTTTTTTTTAACTTTGCCCTTTCTGATAGATAAAAATACTCTTCTAGTTCTCTGTTCTATTTGTTCAGCTGTGAGATGAAAATTTAGTGTGTGTGTGTGCGCGCGCGCGCGCACGCATTGATGGAGTATCCATATTTCCGTTCCTGTAAATTTCCTATTTGTAACCAATTCCTGCTTTTTGCTTCTTTTTGATTAACTGGTTTCACTGTTTTTATGTAGTCATTGCAAGTGAAAATTTCTGTATTAGAAAATTAACCTTCTGTCAATAATGTTTCCAATACTTTTATCCTACGTGTCATTAAATATTTTTCCTGAGATACCAATGTTTTAAATTTTTATGCAGTAAAGTTTATGGATCTTTTCCTTCACAGCATCTGAACTTTGTGCCATATTTTGAAAGAGCTTCCACACTTAAAAATCATAAAAACATTTATGCAGAATTCCTTCTGATCTTTTATAGTATCATTTCATTTGCCTCCCTGTCTGTGATCCATGTGAAATGTATTTCTAGCAACTCTCCTTTCCTCCCTCCACTTGTTGAATTAAAACAAACAAGCAAACAAACATGTATATATATTTTTAAACCTAAACTTCTCAATCCTCATACCAACACAAGCAGATCTGGGACAACAACAAGGAAGCTGTGCACGGTTTCTTTTACCTTTTTCTACCAATTTCAGACAACATCTTTTTTAAATACAAGTTTACAACACAAAGTGTGAGCATCAGCGTTTGAAAATCTCTAGTTCTTGAGGTTTGGGAATATAATTTTTTTCATAACTTACTTTTAAATAAAAATTCATTTCAATGATCAGTTCCATAGAGTAGAATTTGGCCTGTACTTACAGTACATAAAGCATATTCCACATTTCTCAATTTTAAGAATTAATCATTTTTTTTTTTTAAGATTTTATTTATTTGCGAGAGAGAGAATGAGAGACAGAGAGCATGAGAGGGAGGAGGGTCAGAGGGAGAAGCAGGCTCCTCGCTGAGCAGGGAGCCCGATGCGGGACTCGATCCCGGGACTCCAGGATCATGACCTGAGCCGAAGGCAGTCGCTTAACCAACTGAGCCACCCAGGCGCCCAAGAATTAATCATTTTTAAGACACACAATTGATTTAATAACTTTTTTTTAGGGGATAAGCAAGATGAAAATAAACCAGTGACTGTGTAAGACAGGAAAGTGTGCGTTTTTGTATCTACAAAATAAGATATTTCACATATTGTCACTAAGCTCAGGGTCAGCAAATCGTCCCTGTGCAGATGTTGTTCTGTAGGAAGTTTCTGGAAATCTGAAGACCCCTCAACTGGGAGACAGATCTGGGCGCAGTGAGAACTAAGAACCCTTCTGCTTCCTGCTGTGACCTCCTTTGGCTGTGACAGTGGCGATCTGACCCACGTTGTCCGTGTCTTACTGAACCAACTGGCCACATTGATTCCACAGTGTATATCACACATGGGAATCCTCACTGAGCATGATGCCATTTTCACATGGGTGAGCAAACAGGACAAAGCAACACTTGCAAAATGATTCAAAAGGCCTAAACTCCTTTTAATGTTTGTTATTAAAGCAACATGACCATTAGACAAAATTAAAATTCCAAAAAACAGGAAAATTCCACCAGCCCCCTCCCTTAGCTCCTGGCTTCTCTTTGCAAATCTTCCTGCAGGACTGAAATAATGCCACAGGGTTACACAGGACACACAGGATATAAGCTGTTTTCAATGAAAAGCTGCTTGTA